TGTATGTATGTGGGTATATGAATAACGACTGCTTAAAATCGATCCAAGTTTTTCATTTTCAATCTCATAAATTGTTTATAATGACTTTTGCTAAAATTACAAAATCAAAAGTTATCAAAACTAATTCTATGGGACTGAGAAATATTGTTTTCTACTTCTTAGTTCATTTATAAAAGCGTGGTATATTAAAAAGTTTTTATTTTATTTTATTTGCCAAGAATCTGCAAGGGCACACTTTCAGTGCGGTATTCGTAATCGTCTGCTGCGAATGGAACACTATACTAAAGCCAGCCTCCCCACTTAAACTACAGCGAACACAGATATGTACATACGTATGCTTTTAAGTTCACGAATTTTCCATTTTTATTTTATTTTAAATATGTATGTATACACCTGTATTTTATTTTATTATTGCCAGTTTCACCAGCAATTTACAGAAAAATTATCTTTTTACTATGAAAACTGACGGAAGGGAAAAATGATTTTTGACTTAAATTGTTGAGTTCACGTAGCGAAATAATTTTATGATGGAAAAAATGGCGTCGAATCCACAACCGCTGAGCTGAACGGAACTACTCAACTGTGTGTTTCTAGAACAAACACTCAACAGTTTAACAACATTTTTGCATTCCGATACGCTCGACTATTATTCATTCAAATTTATCAATCAAATGTAACAAGTTATGCTATTATTTTATAAAAGCGGAACGATTTACAGATGCATTCAGTTAAAAGTAACCAGTCATATAAACATTAAAGGTGGAAATGATTTATGCCACTTTCAAATATACGAATCATATATGAGTAAAGCTAATCCACACAATGGATAAATCACTGCACGCCTACCGCAAGGATCGACAGCGCATTCGGTGAAGTATTCGGTGCCCTCTTGAATGATTACTTCAATAAAAAGAATATTGGAAGCGATTTCAACAACACCACGACAGAAGCAATCAATAGCACGTTGGAGAACCGCGGCAGCCAGAAGTTTATGGTGACATGGATTTACTCAGTGCGCAAGATTGGAGTAACGAACGCATTTGTAGGTATAACGTCCGTGGCTATTATAACTACATGCTGCACTCCACAAGAAAATGTGCTCCCTGCTGAAGTCTAGAAAAAGGAACAGTCCAGCGCCTTCGTCTTGGTCTGCAGGCTGTATCGGAGATACACACAGAAGTTATAGTTGCTACTTGGAAGATCACAACATCCTTTCATTAGACTTCTTCATGGAGTTCGCATCTTCAAAGTTACAATTCTAAAAATATAACTTCATTTAAAAACGGCGATATCGAATATAAAACACCCGGCGCACGCATTAAATATAGTATTGCACCTTTCTAAAAACTGCTGCTATATGAAAACAGGGTGATTTTACCCCTATTTGAAACGTTTTCTATATTATATCCGGTTAGAAATAAAGAGATAAATAAACTTATGTAATATGTAGTCTTTAAAGTTTCTTTTTAGTAGTTATCAAGTTTGAGGAAATTGGCGCCTTTAAATTTTTAAATAACGAAGTTTCCGTATTTCTGAAATGTGTCGTTATATGCAAAGTGGGCGTAATTTTAGTGCAATTTCAACTTTTTTGTGTCAAGTACAATATGTATACCGAGTCTGGTACAAATTGATCGAACGGTTACCGAAATACACATATGTATGTTTGTCATAATCAAATTTTTTACTAAAGACTTATTGCAAACATAAATTTTGAGTAAATTTGCTTTATTAGTTACTGATTTATTAAAGATTTCTGCGTCAAGTAGATTCGTATTTCTGAAAATGTGTGCTGTTGGAATAAACAACATCTATAAGTTTTTGATTTTTTTTTAATACAATTTAGTTATAAAAGTGGCCGCTCCTCGGCAGGCAATGACAAATCGCCGAATATATTTCTGCCATAGAAAATATTTTCATATACATTATTTGCCATTCTGGGTCGGGGTAAAACTTTATGTCAAGTCCCTTCAACAACCTCAAGAGGAGAAGCTCGGCGAAACATTAAGCAAAATTTTTAGGGCCAAATATTCTGTTGTATGTTTTTTTATTATGTATACCATAGTATACACATTACATTTTAATTTATTTTTCTATAGAGATGCATACATATACACATATAAAGCCGATCATTTTTCGATCTAAATGCAATACTTCTTACAGTCAAGAAAAACCCACATCTTCTTTAAATTTCCTTTTTTATTCGAATT